TGGTCAAAAACATTGTGAACCCCTACTGTAACCACGTTTGAAAACAACATTTTGAACTCAACATATGGAAAAACATAACAGCTCTCATTTATTCCATATTGACTGGGGGGGGACATTTTATTTACCAGCTTGATGGTACTTAACTTTAGTGATTTTCCAAGAACTGGTGTTTCAATGTAATGTGTCTGTAATCTCCCAGGTATTTAAATTATATTTTAATATCACTTAGGGCAATCACTTTGACATCTCTTCAGTATATCCAAATTATTAGTATTATTACTTTATTACAATAAATTTATCACTATTAAAACATGAATTTATGAAATCTTTTTATTCAAACAGTTTTTTCAGGAAATTAGACTTCAAGACCAATAGCTCTTTCTAATATTGATGAGTGTGGAAAGTATTATATCATTATTTTTCTATTGTCGTTACATGTATTACCCATTCTTACTGCTTCTGCTATTGGAAGTGTCCAAGTGATGTGGTGTTTGTTATTTGGTAAAGATCTTTGTTATGGAATAAATAAGACAACCCTGGTAACAAAAATGAACTAGACAAGATGCCTCAAATAAGGAACTCAAAGTCAGTCAGAAGTTCATCAGAGTCAGTAGAGAAGAATTTCTAACAGATGTTATGGTGAGTACCTAAGTGAGACATATAAACCCTAGAAGTGAGTGACAAGTAATCAAAACTCGTACTTTTTTTTTTTTTTTTTCTTTTTTTTTCCTTTGTCACACATGATAATACTGACAATGAGAAATTAGAACCATGTTGGTTTAATTTTTTTCCTCTTTGGTGTATGTAAAAGAAAGAAAGAGAAGAAAGAAAAAAAAGAGAAAGAAAGAAAAAACAGATATACTTCAACTATGGAAGAATTATTAGCCTAAGTGGTAAAAAATACAGCAACAGCAACAAGAGCAATTGTTGGAACTCCAGAAACAACAAAAAAATTTAATTTAAATATTACAGAAGAAAATGGAAAATTCCACAAGTTCTTTCACTCCCAATGCAGTGACAAATACATACAATTCAGATGGTGGAATTACCTTTTCTGCTTATTTTAGATAATATGAGAAGAATGCAGTGACTGGGAAGACTAGGGGGGAAAAAAAAAAATAAACTTGAAAAAGTTAGCACCGGGAGAACATGAAAAATACCGTAATTTTGTACTACTGAAAAAACTAGGAAAAATTTGCTTTGAAGATATGTTAAATATTCTAAGTGTACGAATCTGACAAAAAAAAAGAAGACATTGATTTTGTCACATATGCTGGAATCGTTAACAAGGGGTATGTAAGATTCAAATTAAATGAACTGACTCCAGATATTTTTTTGTTCAAGGGTTAAGGGTGAAAAAAAAAAAAATCCAAAAATACGTGCTAGAGTTCTAAGCTAAATATCGGACAAATGTCAGAGAACCCTAAAACTGACACACGATACCAAAGAAATTGAAGAAAAAGAATGTGCATACATACAAGATAAAGGAAAATGTTGAAAAAGCAAAATTAATCCATGGTTCAGATGTGGAAGGTTACATCATGGAGATAACTGTCCCTTTAAGAATTCAAAGTACTGCAAGTGTGGAAAAAGGGGACATAAAAAATCACACTGTAAACCTAAAGCAAGGAAAAGTTCTCACAGGAAAAATTTTGTACACAGTGTTGTGACAGAAAAATAATTACAGAAAACCAAAAAAAATTTCTCTATGAGAAAATTAATAATGTGGATGTAAAATGCAACTAGAGACTGGCAAGTATGCTACAATCAATGAAACCATGTGGAAAGAAAATGGAAAATCAATACTATAAAGAACTTTGAAAATCACATGTGGCATATCGGGTAAGAAATTATTGGGGAAATGATTTGTAATGTTTTATTTCATAACAAGTGTATAAAAGCTAAGTATTATGTATTCAAAAATACTACAATCTTATTTGGTACTGACTGGATGGAATTATTTGAGTTGTGGGATTTACGTATAAGCATTTATTGCAAAAATGTAATTGAACAAGCGACCAGTTTAAACAATATTGTGACAATTTAAAGGAAGAATGTTTTCTGGATGTTCTGTTGGATAAGTTGTGTTGGTGTTCCAAAGTCAAAGTAAAATTTCAACTAAAAAATGGTTGATGCCAGTGTTTAAACCAAAATGTAGTGTACTGTTCACAGCATTGGAATAAGTCAATGAGGAATTCAAGAGACCTGAAAAAATTGGTGTAACTGAAAAGATTGACCATTTAAAATGGGCAGAACCAGCAGTGTATGTAAAGAAAAAAAAAAACAAAATTCTTGTTTTTGACAGGGTTAAACAATGCCATATATTAATATTTTGGTTGTACACTCCAGCCTTCTACAGGTGATTGGAATTTTGAACTGAACCTTTTATTTCATCCACCAGGGTAGATTGTTCAAGTTCCACATCCTATGCCGCTTCTAATTAACTCAGTTATTTACCTTTAGCTCAAATCTCTAAGTTTTGGTTCACCATTGCTGTAACCTGGTATTGAACTCACAACTCTTTAAGTCTAGTCATTGGATCTAACCAATGCCTTTATCCACTGGGCCATGTGTCCTTGAGAATACATGGCCTGGTAGAAACTTGGCGAGTTGAGCTAAAGGGAAATAACTGAGACATCCGGAAGAAGGTGTTGGTAGATGGAACTAGAACAATCTAACCACGTGGATAAAATAAAGAATTCAGTTCGAAATTCCAATCACCTGAAGATGGCCAGAGTGAACAGGGGCCGAAACATTGTGAATATGACAATGAAGATGAGAATAACAGTCCAAATAATGTAAGTAAACATAATGCCTCATCTCAGAGATATAAACAGGGATAAACAAATGTTTAGAACCCCATAATTATCCATTACCAAATTCAGAAATTTTTGTGAATTTAAATGGTGGAAAAATATTTTGAAGCTGGATCTTTCTGAAGCATATTTACAAATTCAGGTCGAAGAATAATGTTCAGATTTAATAACTATAAATACAGAGAAGAGATTGTATAAATTTAACCGACTTCCTTTTGGGATAAAAGTGGCTCCAGCTATATTTCAACAAGCTATGGATACTATGCTTGCAGATTGTGATTTTGCTGTTGCTTATCTGGATGATATATTAAGTAAAAGTGTATCTAAGAAACAACATATTGAGCATGTGAAAAGATTTTTTTAAAAATACAAGAGTACAGCTTAAAACTCTGTGAGGAAAAGTGTGAATTGTTTTTGCCCAAAATCAAATACCTAGGACAAATCAGTGACAAAAAAAGTCATCAACTAGATCCATCAAGGGCAAGTACAATTAAGAATATGCCTCCTTCAACAAACATTATTAGGTTACAAGCATTTCTAGGACTAGCAAACTATTATCAAATTTATATACCTAATATGCAGAATTTGAGAGTTCCGCTGAATAATTTGCTTAAAAAAGGCATAAAGTGAAACTGGACTGATAAGTGTTAGAAGGCATTTGAAGAAATCAAGAAAATTCTAACATCAGGCTTATCATTAGCACACAAAGAAAGTAAGACTTACTATATGAGAGAATACTGATGATTTCATAAAGAGTAGTAATACCTATTATAGTACAAAAGTGGATAAATTTCAAGGATGAACTATTTTGTTAGTAAGAGCCTGCAGTGGTTGTGGTCTGGCTGCAAAATCACCTACTACAAAATTACAACCTTGGTCAAAGACATATATTCTGTGATCAAGATTACACATAGATTTTGCAGGTCCAATCAACAGATCACATTATCTTGTGGTTGTGGATAGCTTTACTTAAGTGGCCTGAAATTTGTAAATGCCAAAAAAAACTTACTTAGGAAGGTTACAGTGAATTTTTTACACAAACCGTTTGCAAGATATGGCATTCCAGATGCCATACTTTCAGATAATTATACACAATTTACTGCTTACGAATTTAAAGAATTTTGTAAAATGGTCTTGCTGGAACATATAGCATAAGGTCAAATGGAAAAGCTGAATGATTCATGGGTACTTTCAAGACAGATTTGAAAAAAAATCAAATAATGAAAAGGTTAACAAAGAACGACTACAAAAAAATCTTGAGAGTATATCAGATAACGCTGAATCCCAATACACTGACAGGCATGTCACCGACAGAACTGATGTTTGCAAGAAAAATTAAGTTGGTGACAAGCTGTTACCAGGTCGAAAAAAGAATAAGAATGGATAACAAAAAAGGCACAAATTTTTTTTAAATTGGCAAAAAGCGTTTTTCAAAAAATGGAAAAGAAATCTGGGAAGATGTCATGATAAGGTTACAAATTGGAAAAATAATATATATGGTAAAAGTGAAAAAAATGGAAACACAAAGGGCATTGGAATCAATTAAAGAAAAGGTTTACTGAAGAAAGGCCTGAAAGAAACGAAGAACCTATGCAAGTACTGTAGGATATTTTTGACATACCAACACCTCAAGAATTTGTTGAACATACAACTGTGATTACCAGTAAAAGGTAACATAGGGAAAAACTAGAGTTTGACCCAAAAATGAAATAAATGCAAAGTACAGTACATGGCAAACTCATCAGAAAGAGAAGGGGGTGAATACTAAGAAATAAAATATTTACTGACGGAAAAAAATCCCACAAAAGTGGGGATGTTGTGGAGTAAATAAGACACCTCTGGTAACACAAATGAACTTGGCGAGACACTTTAAATAAAGAACTCGAAGCATGTTAGTAAAAGTCTGTCGGAGTCAGTAGAGAAGAATTTCTGACAGACGTCACAGTGAGTGCATAAGTGAGACATATAACAGCTAGGAGTGAGTTATAACAGTTGGTCATTTTGTAACACCAACTTATAGGGTCTGATAAAGTATGGTCTTAGTTTTATATAATTAATTTGCTTGAAGCCCTTTTTAACCACTGATTTAAAACAAATGTAGGTGATAGTTCAGTACGTGGATAGCTTTACTTAAGTGGCCTGAAATTTGTGAGATATGAGATTTGTAAACTATCATCTGCAGCTTATGACCATATCACATTGAAACATCAGTTCCCATATGATCACTGTAGTTAAGCAATGTCGAGCCCAATCAGTACCTTGATGGGTGACTGCTTGGAAATATCAAGTGCTGTAAGCTTGGATATGTGGGTAGTGTAATGGATAATGGCTCAGAATTGTTAATTAGAGAGCAAAGTTCCAATTTCAATTGAGTTAGTTATATTTACTTATGCACAAATACCCTTGGGGAAAGGTATGAATCCACTTCTCCCCCTAGCTATGGGTTAATTAGTATGAATTGTATCACTAAACCATTATTATCTCAAAAAAATTGTTACAATCTACAAATATTTCCTGGCTTTAAATAACCTGCAATGGGTTGATAATCTGTAGAAAACAAATCAATCATAAACAATCATCTATCTACAACCATTTATATTTTCTTCTATATGTCGTGTTCCTTCAGGAGGTAAGCAAACATGGCTCTCCATAATTTCCTCTCTTTTGTAGCTATTAATAAATGTAATCTTTGTGTTATCCCTCCTAAACCATGTTCTGCTATCCATTTACTCAAGCTCACTAGGTAGGCTGTGTTGTTTACCCTCTTGCCTTCAATATATCCTGTGTGTATCAAATTTTCCAAGCCTTCTTTCCTCATTATGTGCCCTAGAAACTTTCAACTATCTGATAAGTTTCCATTTTGTCTAAAACTTTGTTGTTGCTCACATGTTCAGCCCATGGTATTCTCATCATCCTTCTGTAGAACCACATTTCAATTGCTCTTCTTTATCTCTGAGGAAATTGTCCAGCATTCACTGCCATATAGGAGACTGATATGTAACAGTTCACTACTCTTTGTTTCTAACAAAATTTTCCTATTTCTTAATACTTTGCTTAACTTTTGGAAGGCAATTTTCACTATCCCAGTACACCTTTGAACTACAGTGTTGAATTTTATGTCCAATGCTAAAATGCTTCTTAGATATTAAATTATTTATATTTTAATATCTCTTAAAGGAATCACTTTATGGTTTCTCTTTGGTTTATTCAAATTATCAGTATTAGGACTTTATGATTATTATTATTTTTATCAGAGCGCTATCAATTCAAACCTGACTTGTTTATTTTGGGTGTTGATGGCAGAAAAGTGAAATTGTGAAAAATTTAAGCTAAGCAGGGACCACAGTAAAATTCAGCGTGACATCGAGGTGATACTACTACTGTATTGAAGATGGAGGAGTGCAGCAGATGGGAATCATGTGATCAGTTGACAGCAAGGTGCAAAAGAATGAGGCATCATGGGATGCAGTTTCCTGTGCTTGTGGCACTCGGGCAGTCATGATTTGTGCATACAACAGAAATGATGCAGTGAAGTACAGGGAAGGAAAGAAAAAAACAAAAAGAAAGAAAAAAAATTAGATGTACAAAAAAGAGGAGAGAAAACAATGGAGAATTTGTTTGTTTTTTTAGGGGGGTTTTCGGGTTTTTTCTTTTTTTTTAAATGAATTTTAAGCCAAGAACTGGTAGGAAAAATGAAAGGAAATATAGAAATAAATCACGAGAAAATATAAAATAAAAAATAACCAGAAAAAAATGCAAGTGAAGCCAAAGGAGTTTAGAAAGTAACAAGGAAAAGTGAAATTGCAAGTTTTGTTGAAAATTATGTATTGACAATAATAAATAAATAAATAAAATGAACGAATGAGATTGTGCAATAAAAGATGAAAAATGATGTGTAAAGAGAAAAAAATGAATGAACTAATGAAAATATAAAAGGAAAATAAAAATCAAACTATATAAATAAATAATTTCAAATAAGCTTCTCAAATTTACTGCTTATTTTTTAAAAAATAAACCAAAAATATAAGCAAAAGAAAAATGTAAAAAGATATGTGCAAAATAAATAAAAACAAAGAAATATAAAAAATATATGAAAAAAACATTTCAAATATGTGCAAGATAAAAATGTACAAAAGATCAAAATAAACAAAATATGTTAAAAAAATAAATATTAAAAAAATATTTTGAAAATAAAATGTATCAAATAAACAAATAAGTATATGCAAAAACAAACATGATAAACAAAAATATATGCAAAATAAACAAAAGTACTAAGAAAATATAGAGGGATATGAAAAAAATAAAAGAAATGTTAATTTGAAATTTAACTGTTATTGTGAAAAACATGAAAATCTCAAGAAAAATATTAAAAAAAAAATCAACATCAAAATATGAAACTGGCAAAAGTTAATTAAATAATGAAATACAAATGCAAGAAAATAGAAATAAGTCTTTATCTAAAATTGAAAAAAATGAAATATACAATTTGGCAGAGACTTGTAAAATTTCCAAGAATTACACTGCTAAAATCATTTATGTTTTGGGGTCTTTTTTTTGGATGAGCGGAGGGGTTTGGTTCGGTTCTACCCTAGTTTTCCCCTATCCATTCTACCATCTTCTTTTTTAGGTATAAAATTTGTTTCAAAAGAGATCAAAGATTGAAAATAAAGAATAAACCTGAAGTGAAACACAAACATGTCTTTTCCTTGGGAAGCCTTTCTTAACATGACTGTACTGATCACACTGCAGTGCCTACTGGTTGAAGTCATTCAAGTCATAAAGCTACAATATAGTTTCTCCGACCACCTGATACACTGCCATCTTTTTATTTACATATGCTCATAGTATTAAAAGGTTTTAAATTTCATACATGAAGCACTTCCAATTATTATTAATATATTTGCCAAATGATTAATAGCTTTCACCATTATTATTAATTAATGATAAATGTTTATTAATGATTATATCAGTTTTTTAAGTTCATCTTTCAGACTATAATTTTACAGTTGTTAGTAAGCAATGCAGGTAAGAATTTAAGAATAAGGCTCCAGCAAAACATGAACTGAATCCCTTTTTCATTGAAAACCTGTCATAATGCAACAACTGCCTCACTGATCAGACCACAGCCATAACATTTATACTGTCATTCTACATAGTGTTGCCAGATTGAACAGCAAGTAGTGAAAGAGACTACATTAAAGAGCCCAGATTTACTAATTTTTACTTGACTATTTAATGATCAGTAGCATAAGGGAGGTAAATTTAACTTAAAATTAAATTGTTTGCCATAAAATGGAATCTTGGCTTGTAAATTAATGTTGATAAAGGATGTAATTTTTTGTCATTTTACAATCTACAATTATTCACATAAATACAATGCAATCTAAAATTTGCTTGAAGATGAAACAGAACTAATACTTTTGATTTAATTATATAATTGAATTTGAAGTTTTTAGTTTCTGTTTTTGAAATATCGTAATTCCTGTGTATCGATGAAACCATATTTTTAAATCGGTTAATATATATATATATATATATATATATATGAGAGAGATGTTAAGTATAGCTCTCAGCATTCAGGTGTAGGTTCTATCAACTTTAAACTTTAGGGTTTTAATGTTCAGCCAGTGGCACCTTACATTAACACTGCCTCTACAGTAGCTCAAAAGAATACACATTTGAGCTTGTCTGGTAGATCAGATTTCCAGATTACAACCATTTAATTTAAGGCAGCCTAGGTTTTAGCTATGCAAATTTTCACACCTTTTTCAGTATAATCTATCCTGCTTCCTAGGTATGTAAAAGATTCGACAGATTTTATTGATTCACCTGAGACAGTTTGTATTGAGAATTGTTGGTTGAAATCTATGAATTTGGTTTTAGCAGCATTGACATAGTCCAATATCATTGGCAGCATTTTGTAGATGATGTAGGAGAACTGTGGTATTAGTAATGGTGTCTGTAGTAATAGCTAGGTCATCTGCATAGTCAATATCTGACAACTTTTTTGCAGGTATTGACTTCTGAGTCTTGGTGATAAAGTAAAACCTATATGATGATGTTTGAGGGAAGTTCTCAATACGTAGTCAAGGGTGATAAAAAAGAGAAAACATGCAAGGCTGTTTCCCTGAAGGACCCCTGCTTTGAAGTTAGTGTCTCTGTTTGGGGATCTAACCAGAAATTTAGTCTTGGAGACGACATACTAAATCACAGCACTATGGACCCATCCCTGATACTTCTACAATCTTGTGCAAGTACAGAATGTGCATTGCAGGACACTGTTAGCAAGCAAAACAAGACCTCATGAGTGATCTACTACACTGAACACCTAGCCATGAAGTAAGATGCATTATTTGTCTGGCAACCACCTACATTGAGCAACTATGTTATGACACAGAATGCCGCCCTGATGACCTTCTGACCTTGATACAGGACCGTGATGGTTGGTGTGATAGATTCATGAATGTTCGTGTGTGTGTGTATATATATACACACACACACACACATATATATATATATATATATATATTTTGAATTTGTAGGTCTGATGAATTGGATCGTATTTACGATTCCAATGGAGTAAATTATGACCATGGAATATTAGTGTTTAAGCCTTTTATTATATCCTTACTCTGTCCTAGACATTGAGTTCTACCTGGATCCTTCCTCTTGGAAAAATTTTTTCTGAAAAATATATATGTATGGAAATTTTTTAGATATATTTTTCATATGTATGTATATTTTCCATTTATTATCTATATATATATATATATATATATATATATATATATATATATATATATATATATATATATATATATAGGATTTATACCAAGATTAATTTATGAACCTGTTATTGGTGTTAGGTTGATATTTTTTTTTCTTTCTCTTTGTGTGTGTGTTTATCTGCATATGTGTTGAATGTTGTGGTTATCTCTCCTTTTTCATCATTTTCTTGTCTCCTTATTCTCTTTCTCTCCCTTTTCCATTTTTGTCACTTTTGGTTTTCATTGTCAATGTCATTTCTGGTATCACAGACAGGACTCTTGGGGTTTTAGGATAATTCATTTTCTCAAATGTTCTGGAGTTTTCTTAAGTTAGTTATTTAGGAAGTATAGGTGTTTTCTGTTCTTTTTTTCTCCAGAGGTTGTTTTTTAAAAATTTATTCCTGTTTAAATAATTCATTTATTTATTTTTTTTAATTAATGGTTAAATGGCAAAGTAAATGTTTGTTTATATGTCTGCACTTCCCCATTATTTATATATATCCAAACAAGTTTGCTTAAAAAGAAGTGTG